CTACAAGCACCCCAGCATCCGTAACCCCATCCAGATCTCCGTGGTCAAGTTCCTCCTCATCGGGCAGGATGACAAGGGGCCCAAGGTCACTGGCAACGCCGCCCTCACCCTCCGCAACTTCTGCGCCTGGCAGAAGAAGTGGAACAAGGTCAGCGACAAGCACCCCGAGTACTGGGACACCGCCATCCTCTTCACCAAGCAGGTGAGTGCCGGGGGGATGACCTGGTGGGGCTGTCCCCAGTTTCAAGGAGCCCGGCACCATGCTGAGGCCTCCTGCCACCTGCAACCCCTCTGAGAACGTTGCACCTCTGCCTGATCCCCCTTTCCCGAGGGACCCTCCACCCTCAGATGCTCAGGGCAGGGGGAGCAGAGGTGTGGACCAAGCTCTCTTGAGCCAGCCCTTGCTGTCCTCTGGGCAGGTTTTAGCCAGCAGCCTGGAGAAAGCCCTGCCAGGGGGTGAGCGAGGCCAGGAGGTGTGCAAAGGCAGGTTGTCCCCACGGGCAGAAACCAGCCACTCCATCCCCTGCCCGCTGGCAGGATGCTCAGCCGCCAGTGCCTGGTGGCTCTGGTGCCCAGTGGCCACCACCCCAAAACGCAGGGAACCGAGCCCAGAAGAGGAGGAGTGTGGCCCCATTTCCCTCTCCCCGGCTGGGAACAGCTCACGGTGCCACCTGCCAAGAAAAAAAAACCTCTCCCCGCTTCCTCTGACTCATGGTCCTCCTGAGAACCTGGACCTCTCCTCCAGGCGCTGGCTGCTCTGCGTGGATCCAGTTCAGGGCTGGAAGAAAAGCAGCAGAGATACAGCCAGGGCTTGCAGCCCTTGGTGGGGGCTGAGGCCAGAGTCTTCCCCACCGCTGCCGTGAGCTGGCCACATCCCTGCGGTGGGAGAGGGGCTTTGTCCAGCTGCCTTTTGCTCACCTTTGGCTACGTGGGGTGCTCTCCATCTCCCCCCCACCCCAATAAATCAGGTGACACTGCTTCCAGGGCCTCCCCCCCAAAATGCTCTTCCTCTTCCCTGTGGTCCTGTCTCAGCATTGACATCGGTGCGGTGCCTGGCTGTGGGGTGTTAGAGCCTGCACCCCCAAATTGCTAATGGGAGGGGAGAAGGATGAGCCTGGTTTTAAGGGGACTGTCACATTTTATCCTGGCTGCAGCAGGCTTTGCCAGCAAGAGCAACTTGTGTTTTCTCCTTCCCCCATCTCTGCCTAGATGTCTTTGGATTAGGGACAGGTCGGGAACTCCCTGCAACAGCAGGGAGACCATTCCCAAAACTTCTTTCCAGGTCAAACACTCGTGGGTGGGAAGGATACGGTGTCCAGCTCAGTTCAGCTGCCCCTAGCCTGGGGTCAGTGCTGGCTGATGATGGCCCAGAACAGGAACAATGCTGTGCAGGACGTGTGTGAGACCTCGTCCCGCCCGTTCTCCTCGTCTCCTGCAGCCCTGGGCAGGGGCTGTGTCCTCCGGCCAGCTGTAAATTTCCAGGTCAAACACTCGTGGGTGGGAAGGATACGGTGTCCAGCTCAGTTCAGCTGCCCCTAGCCTGGGGTCAGTGCTGGCTGATGATGGCCCAGAACAGGAACAATGCTGTGCAGGACGTGTGTGAGACCTCGTCCCGCCCGTTCTCCTCGTCTCCTGCAGCCCTGGGCAGGGGCTGTGTCCTCCGGCCAGCTGTAAATCCTGCCGGAGCACAGGCAGGGTTGAACCCCAGCCTGCTGGAGCAGCTCCTGCCCGCACGGGGCGGCTGTAAAGAGGAGGAAGCCTGCTGACACCCCTGCGGGGATCAGCCAGCTCCAGCTCTGGTGGAAACCCGGTGAGGTCACCGGAGCTGCACGTGGGACAGATTCAGTCCCAACAATCCGAAAGCTGAGGATCACAGCCGGGCATTTTTTACACATTGCTAAACCATCCATTCCTGAAATCCCAAAGCAAGCTCGGTGCAAACGCACACGATTGAGGACACATCTGCCTTCCTTGAGTGCATCCATCTGTGTTCCCCTGATACCCCAGAGCTTATCTCCCTGCCAAAAAGCTGTTACATAAGCCCCCGACTTAAATTTCATCTCAAGCCCGGTTGATAGGCAGTTTCCAGTCGTGTCAACGAGTTGCTGATGAATGGGGCTGTCCTCTCCTGACGTTGGTCGAGCTGGACCGTGGATTTGCCTTCGACGAGCTCAGTCCTGCTCAGCCGGTGGGCGCAGATCTGCCAGCAACCACGGCCGTGGGACCTTCATCTTCCTACCTGACCCGGTGCTTTATGGGAGGGTCCTGCAGAGCATCATCCAGCCTTTAGCTGCACTCCTGCCTCCTGGAAATAGCATTGCAAACCATGTCAAAGGCCTCAGCCAAGCTTCCCACCCATCCTGAACCTTGAAACCTTGATGTCCCACCAGCAAAGGTTTACTTGGCCTGCTGTAAAACCAAAGGGACGGCACACCAAGAAACATCTGGCTGCAGCCTAGCACACAGCAGATGCTGTGGGGGAACTTGGAAACGCACGCTCTGTAGCTCAAAGCTCAGATTTTTGGGGTTGCTTTGGACAGACAAGGGAAGCCTCTGTAGTAGGGAGAGTGCTTACGACCTGGTCTCTGAGCAGGCGAATTAATGCAATAGCCACAAGGATCCTCCCCAGCTGACCTGCAGAACATCTCAAGAAGTTCACAAGGGGATGAAGAAGTGCCTGCAGATGAAGGTCAGGCTGGCAGGAGAGCCCTGATGGTGCATCAAACAGGTTGCTTGCGGCCCCTCGGCGCGGTGCGAGGGGCACCGGGCATCCTCCCTTTATTTGGGTTGGCAGCAGGGGATATCGGTGTCGGTGAGCACACCGCACAAAGGCAGAGCTGACCCTTTGCATGCCGCTTTTCCACCTTAAACGTCTTGCATTTCTTTCTCCTCCCTTCTGTAGCTCCATCCTTGCATTGCCGCTTGCATTGCCTCCCCTCCTGAGCAAGCTGGACCCCCGGCAAAGCTGGAGGAGGTGTTTTTTGGCGGGTCAGGACCCCTCATTAGAGCCTAGGGATGCTGCCCAGCCTTTCAAAGTGGGGGTGGCTGGGAGGAGGTTAGGAAACCCCCATTAAGAGCTGCTTGTTCATGTATCCCCGCAGCCAGCAGGCGAGGTTCTGAGCAAGAAGTGGGTCAGTGTGTCAGTGCAGGTGTTGGGCCGGGAGCCAAAAGCTCTCTGCGCCAGCGAGGAAACAGCAACTCTTCAAAGAGCAGCGAGAGGGGATCCGCAAGCGGCCGCCTCTTCCTGGTGATGCTGTGTCGTGTGTCCCCCATGCCCCACCTTCACCCCCAAACCCCCAGCACTGGGACTGCCACAGAGGAGAGCGTGGGCAGCGGGGGCTTGGGCAAGCTGCATCCCTGGGTTAGCTCAGCGTGATGATGGCACGGGGTCTTGGTGGCATTTTGGGACAGGGGACCCTGTGCCGGGGCTTGCCAGCCCCATTTAGTCACCCCACACTCACTGCTGGTGGCCCTGCCACCGGGGCTGTGGGGTTCCCACCTGCTTGTCCCTGCCAGCATCGATGCACAGTGGGATCAGGGATGCTGCAGGGTCCCAGCTGACAAGGAAAACTGCTGCAGAGCGGAGAGCTGAACACGGTTGTACGATGGGGTTTTCCGCCTGCCGCGATAGCCGGCCCTGACCCAGGCGTTTCTCCACCTCGCCTCTTCAGAGATCATGGTCTCGTCTGCGCCTCCAGACTTTGTAGCCACAGGTCTCCTGTTAAAGCCATCTCAGCCCTGGCTGGGGATCTCTGAAGTCTTTGGGACTGTTATTTACCCACGGCTGAACCTGTCTGCGCGGGAATGCCTTCAGCTTGGAAACCTCGCTGGAAATGTTGGCAGAGCCGCTCATGCGAGATTTCGAGCAACCCAGGCGCTTTGGCTTGGCGAGCGCTGAGCATGAATCATGCTTATTTATAGCATGGGAGCGCCCAGTGAGTCCCTTACGTTTTCTTTTCATGTGGAAAGCTGCTCCCTGCCCCCTGCACAGCCTCCCCTGCGGCTCCCAGCCCAGCTGGGACAGCACCAAGCGATGGGGATGATGCTCCTGTCCTCCCAAGCCACCGAGAGACCCCCCAGCATGGGAAGGGGGCATCTGAGGACAAGGCTATTGCCAGGCTGCAGCGGTGGTGCCTCTTCAAACAGGGACTTTTTATTTGCATGAGCACCTTTGAATCCCAAAGAAGAGCAGACCCACCTACAGCGGGACCTTTCCCATCCTCTGTCCCAGCTGTGTCTACGTGGGGTCCAGCAGCCCTTGTGTTGGGGGTGGAAGGCTGGGCTGGTTCCTCCTTCAATCAGCTGGGCTTGGTTCCTCCTCGAGGGACGGCTGCAAAGTGTCTTGGAGAGACAGGAGCACTTCCCTTAGCCTTGGGAACCTCTGGACCTGGTCCAGGGGCTTCTTGTTCCTAGGAAGAAGTTGAGAAATGAGGTTGAGAAAAGGATCAGCTGTGAGCCCAAAGCCAGGTGCCTTCCCATCCACCTGCCTGGGTCTGGTCCTTGAGCTGGGAACCAGGCTGACTCCTCCGTGCTGAAACCCGCTCCACCCTGGCCAGAGGAGCCGTTTGGGTGGGAAAAGCTGTCGCTGAAAGCACAGGAGGATGATATGCACAAAAAGCATCCCCGGTGCCAGGGTTAAATGCAAACACATCATTGCAGCCCGGTCTGGGTCAGGGTGAGGTTTTCTGCCTCTGCAGCCTGGTGTGGACCCCATCCCTTTGGGGTGCCTCCCCCCAAGAAGCCTAGGATCAGCTGCCCGTGGGATGGGGTGGGGGGACAGGGGACAGTAACACCCATGCTGGCCCCGGGACTAACCCCTTGCCTCTGTGCCTTGCAGGATCTGTGCGGTGCCACCACCTGTGACACGCTAGGGATGGCAGACGTGGGCACTATGTGTGACCTGCCATCGGCTTTCACCACCGCCCACGAGCTGGGTAAGGCTCCCCGCTCTCCTCTTCCTCTCGGGAGGAATGCCAGGAGCTGGTGAGATTCAAAATAACCCTGGTTTCAGCCTCCGGAAGATCAGACAATGAGCAGTATCCGGTGATGGGGAAACTCCACCTTGGGGCATGAGACCCCCCCCGAGCCGGGTGGGAAAGACCTGCTGAGAAAGCAAAAGGCTTTGCTGTTGTGGTTGCTACCTCGGATGGGTTTCCAGGATTCAGGAGTCCTGAAATAACCGGCGGAGGGCACACCTACCTCTGGAGACACTTGCAGTGCTTGGCGGGCGGGAGAGGAGCGGGGATGTGGGGTGTGAGCGCTGAGTCTCCTTCTCTTTGCAATTTCCTTTGTTCTTCCTTTCCACTGATGGCCATGTGCAAGCAGCCAGGACAGCGTGCTGGAATGCACACTGGTTTGGGGATGCCACTGGCAAGGTGGTTTCTGTGTGCTGGTCCTGCAAGCTCCCGGCGTCTGTGTGTGGTCTAAGCTGGGTCCTGTGAGAGCGTCATCCTTCCCCGGGTGTCTCCTGGGCTGTCCACAACCATTGCAATCCTTGCAAAGGTCTTCCTGCTCTGTGCCTCAGTTTCCCCCCTTGCAAGAAGCTGTAGGGGCCCTACTCTGTGTGCTAAACGGGGTTATTCATCCTGCCCCCTCTTATGCCCTCCCCAGGCCACGTCTTCAACATGCCCCACGACAACGTGAAGGCCTGCGAGGAGGTCTTTGGTCGGCTGAAGACCAACCACATGATGTCTCCCACCCTCATCCAGATCGACCGTGCCAACCCCTGGTCAGCCTGCAGTGCTGCCATCATCACCGACTTCCTCGACAGCGGCCACGGTGAGCCCTCCTGCGCCCCTCACCCTCTTACCTGTGTTCCTGCCCCGTAGGAGCAGGATCTGTCCATGGGGCTGGTTACTGGGAGAGGCTGATGGGCTGTAGAGCAACTCTTCTCCCTGCCCTGCAAACAAAGTTAGAAGGAAACAGGGAGTTTGGCAGCATTTCTGCATCGTCCAGGCTTCCTCGGTGCCAGGGTGTCCCCAGCAGTGATGTCTGCCAGTGTCACCAAGAGATGGAGTCACATGGGTCTGGGATGCAGCTGACCTCGAGAGCATCCCTGGGATGCTGGTCCCACTGGCAGTGTGCAGCTGGGATAGTTTTGGCCAAATCACCTGCAGCCATCCCTCACCTCCCCACAGCAATGCTCTCCTTCCCCACACTTGGTCCCTACAACCCCCCAAGCACCCAGTAGACATCTCCATCCCTACTCTCGCAGGGGACTGCTTGCTGGACCAGCCGGCCAAACCCATCCCGCTGCCCGAAGACCTGCCTGGGACGAGCTACAGCCTGAACCAGCAGTGCGAGCTGGCCTTCGGCGTGGGCTCCAAGCCCTGCCCGTACATGCAGTACTGCGCCAAGCTCTGGTGCACGGGCAAGGCGCGCGGGCAGATCGTCTGCCAGACCCGTCACTTCCCCTGGGCGGACGGCACTGGTTGTGGCGAGGGACGCTTCTGCTTGAAGGGTGCCTGCGTTGAGAGGCATAACATCAGTAAGTACAGGGTGAGTACCTGCGCCGTGAGCCCCAAAAAACATCCCGCGGCTTTGCCCTGAGTTTTTTGCGCGGATGCTAGCTGAGCAGTCCCCCGCCTCCTGGTGCTGGGGACGACGACGTGAAAAAGAGATGGACATCCCTTGGGAGCTGCATATTTCTCAAGGAGGGATGCTGTGGCCCCACTCCATCAAGTCCCAGGCAGATTTGGAGGCAGCCAGCAGAGGTTTTGCTCGCAAAGGGATGGCTCCGAGTCCAGAGAGCCCCTGCTTGGGATGGAGCCGGAGGCGAAGGGGATGCAGCATCTCACCCTACCGCATCCCCACAGGTGGACGGCGGCTGGGCGAAGTGGGCACCCTACGGACAGTGCTCGCGGACGTGCGGCGGTGGGGTACAGCTGGCCAAGCGGGAGTGCACCAACCCGGTGCCTGCCAACGGGGGCTCCTACTGCGAGGGTGTCCGTGTCAAGTACCGCTCCTGCAACCTGGACCCTTGCTCTGCTGCAGGTAAGGGGCTGGAGCTCAGCTCACTCATGGTATGTGCATGACCTGTAAAATTGGCGCCGGAGGTCCAGGCTGGTCTCCAATCCATGCACACCTTTATTTTTTCCAGTGCCAGGGAAGAGCTTCCGCGAGGAACAATGTGAGGCTTTCAACGGCTACAGCCACAGCACCAACCGCCTCACCGCCTCCGTCTCCTGGGTCCCCAAATACTCTGGTGTCTCGCCCCGGGATAAATGCAAGCTCATCTGCCGGGCTAATGGCACCGGCTACTTCTACGTGCTGGCACCCAAGGTTGGTGAGGGATCCTTAGGGTGAGCTCCTGGGCTGTACGATGGCTCCAGCGTGCCTGGAAGTTAATGCATTTTCCTTGTCTGGTGGGCAGCAGGTGTTAGATGAGGTTGTAGAGGAGGACAATCCATCAGGCTGGTATGAATCGATCTATATGTGTCCGCTTATTTATTTCAGGGCTGGATTTGCTCCATGCAGGGTCTTCCTCTGGGTTTGTGAAGGTGCCTCTGGGATATGCCCATAGCCCTGAAATAGAGGATGATAATTACGGTGGTGGGGAAGCGATGTGTGTGCTGGACAGAGTGGGCGGCCAGACACGGGACTGAGTGGGGTGATGTTAGCTGTCCCCCCAGTGGAGCCTGTTCCCTTTGCACCGATGCAACAGAAAGGGCAGAGAATGATGTAGCTGGAGAAGAAAAGGGATAAAGTCCCATATAGCTCTTCTCAGAGACCCTGAAAACCCTGACCGCAAAGCAGAGCATGAGCAAAGGGCGACACGGTGCCTGGCAGGATCTCCTCGGGACCTGCTGGATGGATTTGGGTAGCCCCAGGTTGGATGGCTGCAACTGGGGGTGTTTGTGGGGTGGCACAGGGAAATGCAGCGCCTTTTTTTGCTCACCCTTGTGCAGGTTGTGGATGGCACCCCTTGCTCCCCAGACTCCACTTCGGTCTGCGTCCAGGGCAAATGCATCAAAGCGGGCTGCGATGGGAAGCTGGGCTCCAAGAAGAAGTTCGACAAATGCAGCGTCTGCGGAGGAGACAACAAGAGCTGCAAGAAGGTCTCGGGCTTGTTCACCAAGCCCATGTAAGTGTTAGCGGACCACGCGCGCTTTCCCCTCTCCCAGCTCTGCTTTTTGGGGTGGATGCAGGAAGGTGGTGGAGATTGTGATGGGGGTTAAGTCCATCCTGAGCAAACTTGTCTGATGCTAGTGTACAACACTGTGTGGAGACCTGGGTTAGCTCTGAAGCAGAAGCAGGACACACTTAACATGCTCTTGGCTTCTGCTGGTGGAGTTATCTCTGGCACATCATCTTCTCATATCTGGGTGACCTCAGCTTAGACGAAACTCAGCATAGGGAGGAGATTCAAAGTTATCTTCATGGGAAGGAAAGATAACTAGTGGTGGGAAGATCTCAGGGCTCTAGCTGCAGAGCTTCAGGCTGAGGCCACGTCATGAGATGTGGACACGGGATGTCCTCATGCCTGATGGTCTGCCCTGCATGCTCTTCTCTTCCAGGCATGGCTACAACTTCGTGGTGGTCATCCCCGCGGGCGCCTCCAACATTGACATCAGGCAGCGGGGCTACAAAGGGCTGATCAGCGATGACAACTACTTGGCGCTGAAGAATGGGCAGGGCAAGTACCTGCTCAATGGCCACTTCATCGTCTCGGCCGTGGAGAGGGACCTGATGGTGAAGGGCAGCGTCCTGCGGTACAGCGGCACCGGCACTGCCGTCGAGAGCCTTCAAGCCTTCAAGCCCATCCAGGAACCCCTGACTTTGGAGGTGCTCTCCGTGGGGAAGATGACCCCTCCTCGGGTACGCTACTCCTTCTACCTCCCCAAGGAGAGCAAGGAAGACAAGTCCTCCTACAAGAAGGACGGCAAGACCCCACCAGACCTCAACAACAGTGTCCTCAGCCTGTCCAACCGCTTGGACAGTGGGAGACCGAGCTACAAGCGTCCCTCCTACAAGTGGGCAGCGGGTGGCTGGGAGGCTTGCTCCGTCACCTGTGGTGATGGGTTGCAGAAGCGTTCGGTGGCTTGTCGCGACTCCTATGGCCAGCCAGCTGCGCGGCGCAGCGGCCGGCTGATGTCCGGCTGTGTGGGGAGCCCTGCCCAGTGTGGGAAGCTGGACCTTGGTCTCCCTGCTCCAAGAGCTGCGGTCGGGGTTTCAAGAGACGGGCGCTGAAGTGCACGGTCCCATCCGGGCGCTTGCTGCCCCGGGAGAGTTGCAATTTTCGGAGGAAGCCGCAGGAACTGGATTTTTGCACCTTGAGGCCGTGCTGAGCAGGTCAAAGCGTGTCTTCAAGGAAGGGCACGGTGTCCCTCAGGCTGGATGCGGCTGAGCAGCAGCCCGGGGTTGGGAGAGGGGGAGATGTCCATAGCACATATCAAACGGGGGCGGGGGGGAAAAATGAGGGGGGAAGAAAAAGGGGACCTGGGTGTGGGGACAGAGCGTGCACACTCAATGCACCCAGGAGAGAGGGATTTTACTGACCAGGTTGCTCGGAGACAGAGCGGCAACGAACATCTACCTCGAAGCTGCCGA